TGTTCATTGTAGATATAAAATTCATGGTGACCAATATGTGCTTTGAGAAAGGTTGCCTCATACTTCCTTTAACTTCTTACCTTTTTAAAAATATCACCTCCTACTGTAAGCCCAGGGGAGATTTTAATTAATAAAACACTCTTGCTTTTTCTTAAAAAAAAAAATCCTATTCCCACCTGAGAAGAATATGTTATTTATTTTTGTTTTCAAGATTGCAGTAAACCTTTTCCCCCTGTATGTGGAAGCCATGAGCCAGATTGTACATTTTTCAATTAGGTAAATGCAGTCTCAAATTGGAGTAAGATATTACCAACCTTTCATTTTTACCAGCAGTTATCAGAATAAAGTTGTATCACAGAAGAGAGAATCTTAAAGTACAGGCATTGTTTCTTTGGGAGACTGTAACTAACAAGACATGTTGCCCCTATTTATAAATGCTGAGAACACGTGAAAGACCAAAATTAATTGTAATGAAAGGCTTCTCATTTTCAGACCGATTCAAGCAAAGCGTATTGCAGTAACTGTAAAAACTTATTTTAGCCCTACCAATAGGATGGCAAAAGTTTCTAAAAGGGTGATTTGTTAGTGATGCATTTAGATCACTGCACCGAAGCTGGTACACAAAATAATGTGTGCCTATAGCCCCCCCCACCTTAAATACAAAGCAAACAAGCTATGTTTTGCCTCACAGTCTCCGACAGATGGAAAAGCCTCTTCTAACTATAGGATAGTTATATCATGTGAAGCACCTCATGGGATCATTTCCCTTCCTTGGTGAGGGGGATGGTATCACTTCCCTGTCAAGAAGCATTTTATCAAGGCAAACTGAAGCCAAATCTGTAACCTTTGCCACTTTTGAATAGAGTGTCATTTACATCTACAGAACAACTGTTTTCTTTCAAAACTGTTACCCTTGTGAAACATGATAATAGGAAACTTGGAAGCAAGATAAGGACATATACTCTACCTTCATCCTTTCTGCCTTTGAGCTCATCATGTTAAGATTAAAGGTGAAGGAAACAGAACTAGGTTGTCCCTTAATATGTTCCCTCACACTTCCTATTTCATAATGATCAAAGAGAGTTTCTAAACATATAAGAGTCCTAATCTCTCACATTATGATCGCCCTGTGATATTGAAAACTTCTCCCACATACACATATGAAAAAGAGATATATGACCAGAATTTGTTTGTATGACTTGGTAGGCAAAAATATGTTCCATATAATAGATACCGTATTTTTCTTTATTCTCATTGTGGTGAATAGCCATTATATGACTTGCAGAGATCAAAATGGTTTTTGGCTTAGATGATCCTGCTAAATAACAAGCAGAGGTATGTCCCTGCCAATATGTCCATGTTCTTTTTGGTACTTTGCACATCTTAGAAAGTATATTCAACCCCTAGTCTAGTCTCAGGAGACAGAAAATGTGCTAGATCAGAAATATGCCCCTCTAAGTAGAAAGCTAAAGAGGGCAGGTCTACTCTTGTCCACCAATTCTAAGTGACTTCATCATAAGTATGCAGACATCACACAAATTACATTGTGTGGTGGTGAACAAACTTGCTGAGTATAACATAAGGCAGCTACATGTCCAATGGAGCATGGAGGATGGCAGAAGGAGAGAAATAACTAACTTTCTGGAAAAAAAAAATAGTGTGTCATCATGATTATTTATGGCTCAGGGAGCTATAGGTGTGACAATACCAAATGCCATGACTGCATATTTGAGACATAATACTGATGTGTGTCCAATCACACTTGGCCAATAAAGCTATTCTATTCTATTCTATTCTATTCTATTCTATTCTATTCTATTCTATTCTATTCTATTCTATTCTATTCTATTCTTAAAGGGGGCAGTTGAGCAATGATGCCATTATGTGTGTGTGTGCATGTGTGTTATTTTGGCATCTTTGTAGCTTGCTGAGATGGAATTAATCTGAATTCAAGCTTTATTAATGCATATAAATCATATATAGACATAGTTTTCAAGATTGGTGGTTTATTTAATAAAATGATGGAAATAGAGAAATTTGAATGTGTGGTATTCGCTTTAGTTTTTTTTTTTAGTTAAGAATAATCTCTTTCTCTTTTATATTGTTCTTTGGAAAAAAGGACCAACAAATTTTCAATTAGACTTTTAAATATATGCCACAGCATATTACTTTTACAAGAATCCACTTGTAAAGTATTGATTGGGACAATTAAAAATTAACGAATGCTGTGAAACTGTAATTGGTGGGTTGTTAATTCTGACAGAAGTAAGAAACCCGGTGTTGAAAATATATTAAAGGAATCCAGACATCGCTGCTCTATGTGTACATAAGCCCTACATACATTCAGAGGCTCTTTTCCCAACTCTCTTCTCTAATAATTTCCACTTTATTTTGGTTTATTCTGCCTGTATTTGAAAATGTAAAACCTATTTTACAGATTTAGTCTAATTCAAAACAGAGACTGCAGGCCTACACAACAAGCAGCAAAGAGATGACATCAAATATAATACATAGCAACCATGTGGGAGAAATCTAGGAGCAATAATAAAGAGCGCTTGGGAACATTTTCAATGATGAACTAATTTAGAAAGATCCTACACTTTTTCAAGAATCGTGACTCACCATGTAGCCCTTCTCCAATTTCAAATCTACGAGCCTGCTCCTGTCTGGCTATATCTTCCACGAAACCCAAAGATGCTTTTTCAAGAGGCAACTGGACTTTCTGGAAAAAGACATCTTCCGCAAGAGCTACTTCATAAGCCAGTTTGTCACGGGATCTTCAATACAAGTCTTGGGCCCAACTTTATAGCTAAAGGTAGCTTTGTTGTAAGGAGGGCTCTGACATGCTTGGCTCATTTCAATATGAGGGTGCCTTGCTATTTTATTTATTTATTTACTAAATTTACATGGCTTTTTGTAAGGCTATCTATTGGATGAAGGCTTTCTATAGCATCTGTGGCCGAGACTCAAAAAGGTACGCATATTGCTCCTGCCACAAGTAATGGAAAATCTGTAGAAGCAATAACTTAATATTTGATATATAAGCTGCTAGAAATGCATAAATCAGCTCTAAGAATGAAGTGTCCGTATATTAGAAAGGAACCAGGGCCTTTTAAAAAGGCTATTAGAATTCCATTTCATTAATTTATTCATTCCTGGCCTGGACATGTCATCATGCATATGGAGACAAGTATCAAAATTTAAATATTTCCCCATATAAAATAACTCCTACAGAAGAAGGCTAGCAAAGTCAGTGGCTTTTTACTGGGGTGGGGAAGGGATAGAGAGCTGGAGTTGCATTACAGAGGGGGAGAGAAACTCTGACCTGTTCCACTACCAGAGTTGCATGGGGACAGCAGCACAGATGCCCATGAGATTGTCATCTCTGAAGGACAATGAGGACATCATTGGCCCACCTGCCATGGGTCATCCTCAGCTCTTTCCTACTGCAGTGTTACAGTGGATACAAGGTAGCCAGACTGATGTAAAGAATGGGTAAGAGCCAGGGGTGGGTTTCTACCGGTTCTGTCCACCTCTGTAGAACCAGTAGCTCTGAAGAGCGGCAGACATAGAACCGGTTCTATGTCTGCTGATGTTTTTGCCCACCCGCCCGCCTGGGCTCTTACCTGACCTTTATTTCCTGATTTTTCAACTTCAGCTGCCCAACGAGGCACAGCTGCAGTGAAACAAGCAGGAAGAAAGGGCTTTTTGAAAGGCTGCTTCTCTTCACACACTTGTATGGCTAATTTCCAGAATTTTCTCCTAGCTTTGGAAAGGTTCAACACACAAGGCAATAAACAATCTAATTTGCATAAATAATCTATCCATGGGTAGAGGAAACCCATATCTTCTAATTCTGTTGCTGATAGTGAAAAAACAAAGCTCCTATACTTGAACCCTCAGCCTGGCTGAGATACCATCAAAAAGATGGTTGAGAAATCTTATTCCCATAAAGGAGAAAGAGAGGAAAGAGAAAGGATAGAGCATCTTGCAAGGCACTTGGATAGTATCAGCTTTCATGAATGAAAGCGACTTAGGTGTCCCAGGATATTGTTGCAGGATCCAATCAGAGTTGGTCTCTGGGATGAGAGGTGTAGCCTTCTGAGCTTTCGGACTTATGCTGGAGCTCATCCTCAGGTAACTTCTCTCTAGTAAAGTGTGTCTGTTAGAGAGAAGTTCCCTGAGGATGGGCTCCAGCTTGAGTCCAAAAGCTCAGAAGACTAAACCTTTGGTCCTGGTGACTGACCCAATTGGATAGTGCAATATCAGCTTCGTTTATAGTTTGGCCACTATCCTATTGTTGTAAGGAAGACCTCAACGACATCTCTCAGCTTCACGAAACAACTCTCGCTTTTCAAATATATCTGTGTCAATCCTGGATGTTATGTCTGCTACGGATCTTCAGGTCTTCATGCCAAATTTTGTATATGGGTCAAGTAGTTACTCAGAACTAGCCATGGAGTCATTATATATCTAGTTTCTCCTACCATTAATGGAGGGAAAGAGGAAACCTCATTATGTAATATTTCCCAAAGAACAAGGCTTGAGAAGACAGGAGGGAGAAGGTTCGTTCTCATCACCGTGGTTAGTGTATTATAACTCTAAAAAGCAAATCATTTTCTAAGTTACGCTGTCCAAAAGCAGTTTACTTCCTTTTCTCCATTGCTTTACCATGCTGCCGTTCTTTGTTTCTTACATAATCTGATAGTCCTTGACTTAGGAACAGTATTGAGCCCCAAATTTCCTGTTGCTAAATGAAACAGTTGTTAAGTGAGTTTTGCCTCATTTTACTACCTTTCTCACCACAGTTAGCAACATGGCTTTTAAGTGAATCACACGGGGATCGCCAGAACCCAGGACACTGCTACCGTCATAAATAGGAGCCAGTTGCCGAGCATCTGAACTTTGATCATGTGACCGTGCAGATGGTTGTGTTAACCAAAGGTCGTAAGTCACTTTTTTTCAGTGCCATTCACTAAACGAACTATCGTAAGTCAAGGGCTACCTGTGTATGACTCACAGTTAATCTAAAGAAAATCATGCTGTCCCGCTCCATTTTCATCCTGTGACAGTGAGCTTGTGATCACCCATAACAAGAAAGGACATTGGAAGCCCCACATTTTAACCCAATGACTGGCTAGAGCAGACTTTTCCAACCTGATGCTTTCTAGAGATGTTTTGGACTATTTAGCTAGATAGAACAGGATGATATGCTTACACAGGAACTAATAGTTTCCTAGGATCGGAGGAGCGACCTAAGGGAGCATCATTTTCACATTGAGACTGGATAAACTGGGACCCCATGTGCATTGTGGCTACCATTTGGGTACAGACCTTCCATCTCAGTGGAAACCTTTGGGTTTTCTGGCAGGAGCCAGGGAGTCTTTGAAGAAAAAAAAAAAAGAGAGAGAAACATGCCATTCCTTGGTGTGTTCAGTTGTGGTTAGAAGCTCTGATGGTCTGAAATCTCCACGATAAGGAGATGCTGGATGTTGTGAAGCTCAAGTTCCATCATGTGACATCAGTTTGGGAGGCATCGGTATCACAGCTTGGCTGCTTAGGGTTAGCATTTCTTGCACAAAAATAGCTGCCGCGCCAGGTGCAACTTTCCTCACCGTGTTCAGTTTCATCTTCAAAAAAGCCCTGGGAACCGGTCTGCTGCAAGGGAAAACAAAGCGCAAATCGTGGTTACTCTTTTGCCCCCGCCTTTTAAAATAAGATCAAAATAACTGCACAATTTCAACACGAATAGTATGAAATGAGTGCCAAGCTATTACCTAGAGCTGTTCTGTGCCCAGTCCAGCATTTACACAAGCAGCTCATCTGAATCAACATCCATAAATTTTTTTAAAGTGACAGGTGTTTGTCTCGTTCTCTGTGCTGCAAATAGGACCAAAAGCATCCATTATTAAACAGCAGGACACATAAACACATATTATATTTGTTTCATGTCTGTTGCCAGTGGCCAGTAAACATTTCACTGGTTCTATAAGAGGCAGAGCAGATCAGGCCAGTGTGTGGACACACAGACACACAGACACACAGACACACACACACACACACACAGATAGAGAGAGTGAGTAGACACATAGATATTGAAATAATATCTGTCTGTCTATCTATCTATCTATCTATCTATCTATCTATCTGTCGATGGATAGATGGATGGATGATAGATGATAGATAGATGATAGATAATCTGTCTGTCTGTCTGTTGATGGATGAATGGATGGATGGATGATAGATGATAGATAGATAATCTATCTATCTATCTATCATCCATCCATCCATCCATCCATCCATCCATCATATCTATCTATCTATCTATCTATCTATCTATCTATCTATCTATCTATCTATCTATCTATCTATCATCCATCCATCCATCATCTCTCTCTCTCTCTCTCTCTCTCTCTCTCTCTCTCTCTCTCTCTCTTTCTCTCTCTCTCTCTCTCTCTCTCTCTCAGCTGGTTAGTGTTACTTGCAGATCCTTACTTATACCTTCAGTCAGCCATGTTCATTTTTAAGGCTAAGTTTGTTGTTTTAGTTTTGTTTGTTTAATGTAAACCCTGAAACGGAAAAGGTTGTTTTTTTAAAGTTCTCTTGAGGGGAGGGTAAGATAAAAAAAAGTCTCTGTGAGAAATACAATAAAAGAATACTACTCAAGGACCTGAACAATCTAAGGATTGCTTATAAAAAAGAACACAGAAGGTTACTTTTCCAAGCTACAAAAGAAGGCAAATGCAGCTTTTGTTCATTCATTTCTATATTCAAGGCTCCCATGAAAAAAAAACACCTTACCTGTGTTTAAAAAGAGCTCAGAAGCACTCTCTTTTCAAGAATTAGAGGGCACCCCAAGACACTTAAAAGAAGGTTTGTCTGTGTTATGATATTTGGCATGCTGTTAATGTAAAGATTAAGTTCTACCTTCCCTTCATGCCATACAGGTACCCCTTTCTGCCAGTGAAAAAAGCACAAAATCTGAATCAAGCAAGTTGATTTAAAATGTGGGGCAAGGATGTCTAAACACTGCCACCTTCTAGACGCGAGGTGGTAGTGCAGTGGCCATCTCCATGTGGGTCATGATTTGGGGGTCAGGGAGAGCCCGATGCCAGCCTTACCTGTCTTCTCTGGTTGCTCAGACAGAAGGTGCAGATGGATCTTGGGCTCCCCGAGGCAGGGCTGCCCTGCAGGAGAGGCTGATACTGCAGGCAGGGCTGCCTCACAAGCAAGGCCTCCTCCGCCAAATTCCCACTGGATTGCTGCTGTTGTTGCTGCTGCTGCTGCTGTAGGAGCAGCATATTCGCCAGGTGCGAGATGTAGCTCGAGGCCAGGCGCAGGGTCTCGATCTTGGACAGCTTACGGTCTGCAGGCTCAGTTGGGATGAGTGTGCGTAGGGTGCTGAAAGCGGTGTTGACGCTGTGGGTTCGGTCCCTTTCCCGAGCATTAGCTGCCTGCCTCTGCTTGTTGTGACCACTCAGCCGAGGGCTCTTGCGTTTGCGTTTGCTTTGGGCCCCGGTGCCGGGCAGGGAGCGACCCGAACTGCTCTCGCTGCTGCCACTCTCCAGCTCCTCCAGATCGGATGCAGCACCCCCGCTCGACTTCATGGTCAAGCCGGCAGCCCTTCAGCTCCATCACTTTTATGCCCAGCAGCTGCCACCTTGTTCCTGTTAGCATCAGCAGCCGCTGCTCTACCAACTCCCCTCCAGCAGCAGGTCATTTTTTGAATGGTTGCTCCTTTTAGATCGAGCAGATGGTGGCTCTGTAAATAAGGCAAGGGAGGTGGAGCTGCCTCTCAGAGGAGCTATTGCAAGCCCTGCACCTGTCTCCCCCTTGTCATGTCAGCATGTGCAAAGGCCTGGGCAGCCCCTCAGGAGCATGGGCAGAAGGGAAACGAAGCCCTCGCCCTCCCCTTTCTCCTCACTCTCAGGAATGGGTTCATGCCTCTCTCAAATCCTCCAGGAAGTCAGACGTTTCCCCCTTTCTCTCAGCAGGCTCATAATTCAGGAATCACTTGAATATCTTGGTTACTGAAAACCGAGCCAAGTGTTGGACCCAGATTATTAAAATCAGAGTTCCTCCCTCCCTTCCTTTCTTTCTTCCCTTCCTTCCTTCCTCCCTCCTTCCCTCCCTCCCCCCTTCCTTCCCAGCATTTTCATAACTTTTGTCATGCCGATTGCTCAATGTCAGCTATTGGTTGGCCTGTGTGAACCATTTCTTAATGCAGTTTCAAAATCACTGCATTTGTAGGACTGCCAATTATTTTCTCATCACTAGCATATAGAGAAATGCTCTGGGGTAATGTAAGGTCCAGCATTTACAAACAATTCTCACAATACGTTTTAGACTAGGGATGTGTGTCTGGCATATCTCAGAAATATAACAAGGCATTTCAACTGTGTCAGTCTGCAAACCATTTTTGAAAAAAAATTGGTTGCCCAACCAAGATCTCAATCAAACTACCCAAATGGACTAAGCAACTATTTCTAAGGACTTCAGCAGAAGGATATATGGTTAGTTTTAATCCAAAAGCTCAACATCACTATTTTCTGTTTAATGTAGTGTTGGAATACTGGAGATGGCTTCCTTTTAGCACCAATGCAAGCACTCCAACACAGTCAGCTGCCTCCACATTCTTGGCTGTAAGTCCTCCTGTCCTCTCACCAACTCTGCTAGATCCTATTTGTGGTTTGTTGCCACACTCTATTGCCTCTGTCACTCTCGTTGACTCATTTATGCAGGGCAGAGGTCAGTCACAGACTAAAAATGGACATTCAGAATCCAATATCCCCTGCATGTAATTCTCACCTGTAAAAGCATGGCCATGCTTCAAGACTACTGCAGCATTTGTGTTCACTGCTGGAATAACAGACATAATATATTATGAATTGGCCCAATGAGACACACTGTTACTTATATCATACAATGATAGATTTGGCTTGATTCCTGCTTCTTGAAAAGCATCAAACAGTGGCACCCCTGATTTCTTGGCCCACTCAAGACTTCTTTGGCTTGATTTGGAATCAATTTGATATTTATAAACTTTTCATTAATCTTTACCCTTTAAGCTGTTGGTAAAACTTCAGTTATAAGCCAAGTCAAAGATCCCAGAAGGTAACCATATAAAACCCACCAACATATTAAAAACATGGCACATGAAGATTTTTTGACTTCTGTCGGTATGTGCTCCTTTCAAAATCCAAGAAAGAAATACTCAGACT